TGCCATACCCCATGCTCCAACCAATTCCCCCACTTGGTGTCCTTTGCTGTAAGTGTTCTAGGTTTTCCTTGAGAGTCCTTCAACCATGGGTTACAAAACAAAGGCTGCCTAAGAACTTCCTCTTTCGTTCGTGGGTCTCTTACTCTTTCCGGGAAGACTTCGGCCCATATCTTTAGGATGTGGGCCCAGTATGAAGACCTGGCGTCGTTTTCCACTCCCCCCTGCGCTCTTGTTATTCCCTTCTTGGCCCAACCTTTACAGAATAACCAGAACGTGCCCTCCATATTTGGTGGAGTTGTATATCTCGCCATCCCCCGTATGTGTTCCAATGCTAGGGGGACCCAGCGTAGATGGGGTTGCGTAAATAATTTGATGACCCATTTGGTTTGAAGTGCTCTGATCTGTTGAGCGGGATCCAAAATGCCCAGCCCCCCTTGATCCTTTGATTGAATTACTTGCCTCCATGCAACCTTTGATATAAAATTGGTCTTAACCGGATTCGCCGTCCAGAAGTACGCCGCTGCCATCCTCGTAAGCTTGTGAAGCGATTGTGATGGCAGAGTCCATATCGTTCCGACATACCATAACATTGAGAAAATGGAAGCGTTTAACACTAATGCCCTCCCAAACAGCGATGTATAAATGTCCGACCAGGCTGACATTTTGGCTAGCATTTTCGCCATTTGTTTCGGGGCCATGGAGTGATGGGGACCCGTGTCAGCTAGCCTAATCCCCAAATATCTCAACGGCTGATTGGACGGTAGCCAACACATGCCTCCATAATTGTGAGGCAGGGATTGACTCTGTTGATCATGATGTGAGAGCCACCAGCCTACTGTTTTAGGCCAATTGATCTTCATTTCCGATGCCAATTGAAAGGCCTCCATATCTCTTGTGAGGGCTTGGAATGACGTGTCTGTGGCTCTAATGAGGACTGTCAGATCATTCGCAAATAATATCGTCGTAGGTAAGTTTATAATGCGTCCCTGCTGGTCCGGTTCTGCTACCAGGCGGTCTATCGAGGGGTCCTTCCTAAGGAAGGAGGCTATTGCCTCCATAATGAATAGAAAAATGGGGGCAGCTAGTGGATCTCCCTGTCTGACCAACCTGGACATTTTATACTTTTCAGAAAGGTGACCATTGAGTTGAACCTGTCCTTGCGCGTCATTGTACAGAACGCGGATCCATTTACGAAAGTTAGGGCCGACTCCCATCTTTTCCATACATAGCTGTAGAAATTTCCAATTTACCTGGTCGTAAGCCTTTTCAAAGTGAAAAAAGAGGATCGCCGCGTTGATCCTCTTATTTGTAATATATCTGACATCGTCATGACGTTATCCAAAATAAATCTTCCAGGTACGAAGCCCGTTTGGTCCAAATGAAAACATCTATTTGTGACCTTTCTTAACTGATTCGCTAGAGCTTTAGCCACTATCTTGTGCGTGAGTGTTAAAAGAGTAATTGGTCTATAATTTCTGATATCCTTGGGGTCCTCCTTTTTGTACAAAAGGGTTACGACTCCCAAGGAGGATTCCAAGCCAAGGCCTTCTTTGTGCCATGCCTGATTTAGAAACGCCTCGTACACCTAATGGACACTAAGGTAAAAAGTAGAAAAAGGAAGAGCGTAATTGTGGACAGATTTAACAAGTTCGCTGTTTTTGTGCCACTCCCTGTTGAAGCAAGAACATATTTAGTAATTCGGGAGCTCTTTAATCATTGGGTGAAAGGCTACGGGCATCCCTTGACTATTCTAAATAATAGGGATACACGATTCACGAGCGAGCACTGGCAGCAGCTCATGAACGTCTATGGATCCAAACTGACTATGTCCTCAGGTAGACACCTTGAGACAAACCGACAGACTGAGCAAATGAACAAAGTGCTACAGCAAGTTCTGCGTATGTATATCTGGCCAGATCAGATTGACTGGGATGAACATCTGGCCAAGGTCGCTAGTGCCTACAACAATTCTGTACAGAGAGAACGCCCGCTGAACTGCATTTAGGTTGGCGCCCACGCAGGCCCGTTGACTGTCTGACCTTGATCAGGTACAAAGGCTTCCTCCAAGGACTGGAGAATTCGCTGTGCAATACAAGGACTTATGAAGAGTCAGGGAAAATATCAGAAGAGCACAGCATCAGATGATAGAACAGGCAAATAAACACCACAGACCTTCGCAGTTCGCTGTAGGGGATTTGGTCTGGTGAAGTCCAAGGAGTTTCTCCCCAAGTAGAACATCTCGCAGAAGTTATTGCCTGCGTATAGAGGACCATGGCAAATACTTGATGTGATTGGTGATGTGATGGTCCTTCCTACGTTGTTGAGATTCCTCCGCATCTGCACACTTACCCGGTGTTCCATGCCTCTAAGTTGCTCCCTTGTGTAAGTAATGAGCTATCTCCGTCTCGAAGATCTACGATTCCTCCCGATATGGATCGCAAGTATGACGTGGATCGGATCGTCGCAGAGGATGTTTATAGATATGGGCGCAGGGGTAGACCCCAACGACAATATAAGGTCATATTTGCTTATCAAGAACCTTCAGAAGATTGCTGGTTTACTAGAGATGAACAAATTGAGACAGCACCGCACATAGTGTCTTACTACGAGAGGGCTAGTTGAGAGATAAAGATTGTGGCTTTCTCGGAAGACCTTGAAGTTAGGCCAGCGAGAGTGAAAGGCATTCCACGATGCAGACCACAAATTTGGATCTCAGGGTTGAAGTCCCCACGCCAAAGAAGGCCTTGTCGGCCTGTTTCCGAAAGGTTGCGTCGGGTACCCTAGGGGTCCAGTGCAACAGGTGCCCAGTTAAACCACCAGTACCTCGCCCTGCTTGATAAATTCGACGCGGCCGTTAACGCGCCGCGTCGGGCGGGGTACCCACCGGGGTGCGACCGGTAGCCCACAAAAAAAGGGGCACCAAAAAAAATAAAAAAATAATAGAAGGGAACTGGGGGACTGGGAGCGATGGAGGGCCAGGGGATTGCAGATGAGGGCTAGAGTAAGAGAATGGGAGAAGGGAGAAAGAATGACGAAGTTCTTTCAAAAGATCAAAGCAAGAGGTAGAAATGCGCTAATAGAACAATTGGATGGACCGCAAGGCCTGGAATCTACGCCAGAGGGGATGCTGGCAGTAGCCTGCAACTTTTACAGAAACCTTTACACTTCAAGGGAGGGGGAGCAGGAACAACAACAACTAAAAGAAGTCAAAAATAAGTTATTGGCTTACCTAGACTACACGCTGAAAGGAGACCAAGCAGAGATGTTGGATGCCCCTCTAACCCAAGAAGAACTAAGAGAAGCCCTCCACTCAATGCCTCCTAACAAGAGGCCAGGAAGGGACGGGCTCGCCAAGGAGTTCTGGCAGGAATACTGGCCCATCCAAAAGCCTTGTACATAGGCTATACAGTCATGCTTCATTCCAGCCCATGTGTAGGAACGTAGGAGGTTAGCATAAGTTTTCCTCCAACCGAAATGTCCCTCAATGTTGTGGCATTCCCCTAGGACTAGACTGCATCTCATCACTGTTTGGTACACACAGTCTATCATGCACATCAGTATTTTCAAACAGTAGCCCTTGGGTCACTCGATAGTCCGGTACTTCGTGTGGTGCCGTCTGCACCTTGTTCATCAACTGACTATAACTAACATAGGCGGACCTAATCTTTTCTCGCAGCTCGGCCCCTGTGTCTAAGTACGTCACTATAGCACCGAAAAAGTCAGCCCGTCTACGCAGTGCGCAAACCGGCGCTACGAGTCGTGCGCAAACCGGCGCTACGAATCGTGCGCAAACCGGCGCTACGAATCGTGCGCAAACCGGCGCACCGTCGTGTGCCGCAACTATGGTTTTATGTTAAACCCAAAAAAAATAAAAATTTCCCCTACCCCTATTTTTTGCTGTGCGGTGCGCGGCGCTACGAATCGTGCGCAAACCGGCGCACCGTCGTGTGCCGCAACTATGGTTTTATGTTAAAAAAGAAGGCATATATGAGGAGAGCGCAGCTTTTTTCCCTGAAGCTCCCCAGAATGGACATGGAGCCAGAACCGTAAGGTTCTGTTTTATGTTAAATAAAAAGGCATAACAAATTGTCTGAAAGGCCTCTGTCAACCATCTGTCCCTAATTGGGAAGCAGGGTCATGGGACACGCCAGCACAGCAGTTGACACTGATCCCTTCTAGCCGGCAGGCACCACAGCAACAACAAGGGCAGCAACGATCAAAAGGGAGTGGCCAGTATTAGTAGCAACCGCTTCTACTGGGGCCCAGGCAGAGGAATCACGGGAGAAATCCTGGAGGTCAATTATTGTTGGATCTCTTCAACCGGTGCCCTAACAGACGTAGCTGAGGAACTGATTACTCCTGGCGAGGTGTGGGCTGCGAAAAGGAAAACACCGGGGAAGTTAGTGATAGCCGGTGTAGAGGTTAGTAATGTAAGGATGGGTGCAGTGATAGACAGTGGGTCCACGAGGAGCTATATCTCCCGTAGAGTAGTGAGAAAGTTGCATTTAGGAATGAAAGTTCAAGATTTGGATTAGCAAGTACTCTCCAGAATGGCCAACAACAGTCTGATGAGTGCTGGGCAGTACCTTGAGGGAGTATAGGTGGACTTCCGATTGGAGGGTGGAGAGAAAGTTGAAAGGTAATGCACTCTTTGACCTTTGTAGTGGAAGCAGACATACCGTTATATATGGTCTTTGGCATTCTTTTTTCTTTTTCAAGTTTGCTGCCAGTCAGATTTGGCAAATTCCTAACAAAGAGGCCTACAACAATTGTTAGTCTACATCATGGTCGTTCCATCTGTTCTGCTTGCAGGTGTAAGATCATGGTCTGCTCTTGGAGGAAAAGACGACAGCATACCTACAGTAGAATTTTTGAGGCCAACAGCTGGGCATCCATTGGACTGGATGTGAAATTCATCCCCCATTCCAGTTATGTTTCCTTGAGCAACTTAGCAATTTTCTAGTTCTGACAGTGCTATGTTCTTCATGTTCTAAATGCAGTGCGATGAGGAGATGTGCGGAGCGGTGACAAGGAATTTAAGTCTGCAGGGTGCACAAGACATACCCAGAGGTGCCGTGTGCCCTAGGTATCCTGGGTGTCATGGGAAGATGGTTCGACAGGTGATCCATCATCTCTCTCCTTCTCTCAACTCCCTGCCCCTCCTTGCGTCTCACTCAGTAGGCTTCGGCAGTGAGTTTTATTCACCAGGTTAGTTGATCCAGCGAACCTTGCACAGCATGCACCTAGACGTTCTGCTTTTATCCATTGCCTACCTGGTTGGTGGAACCACTGTACCAGCAATGTTTTCTTCAGTTTGGGGCTATTGAATTTTTGTCAGTCGTAGTTTTCCAAAACTGTCCCCCCCCCTCATTTTTCTCCATTGTCTTGGGCATCGGTAACCTGGACTTGCCAAGCGCTGCGGCATCAGAGCACGCTGGTCTGTTACAGGGCACCATCTGGGCTGGGCCATCATGAATATCATTCCGCATTCGGACCAGGTCCGTGCTAATGTAGCATACACTTAGAGTCTCAGCCTGGTGGTGACCCATCCACAGGCTTGGTTCGACTTGGTTCGACAAGGTGCATGATGGCTTGCTTCGTCTGTGTTTTTGTTGACTTGCAGTTCTCAGAGGCTGATCTGTACAAGCAGCTGACCCACTTCCACAGACTTCTGGACATATCGAGAGCTCTGGAAAAGGCAAGTAGCCGAAATCATTTTCCAATCCTAGCAATTGTCTTTTTCAGGCAACGTCATGAGAGACTCGTGACAGTAATGAAATAAATTTCAAGACTGGATGTGATTGCAGTGAGTGGTTTCCCGACCCAACTTCAACAGGGGCAGAGTGGAGGGGAGAAGCAGAGGGAGAGAAGACCCTGCTTCCTCTCTCTCCCACCGTTCTCTCTCTCAATGTGACTCGCTTTCCTGCTGTTTCCTCCCTCCCTCTCCTCCTCTCCCTCGCTCTCCCTATCCCCCCCTACCCCCCCCTACCCCCCCCTCTTGCTCCCCCTCCTCTACATATACATGGCTCGCCTTGTGTCCCTATGAGTCTCATTATTGCAATATGATATAAATCTCTCTCTCTCTCTCTCTCTCTCTCTCTCTCTCTCTCTCTCTCTCTCTCTCTCTCTCTCTCT